TATTCATATTACTGTTCCCAGGAGTTCTAAGACCATTCGGAAACTTAAGAGGAAACCTAGATGAGGAAAAAATTGAAGACGTAGTAGGGGTGGCCGTTTGTTGAGAAGCGGGAGGAGACCTTATTGCACCATATAAGCGACCACTCCATTCCAATGAAGACAGACAGCTGGGTCGTCTAGGGGGTTGGGAAAACAGGTGGACTTCTTTCACATGGGCGTACAATCAAAGGGGGCCTCACATGGACTTGGTTGAGGCGCCCTCTACTAGTGTTACAAAAAAAAAAAAAAAGGGGGAGGGGGGGGGTGTCAGAACCAATCCCCCTTACTCACAGAATTTGTAGTTCAACTGTTAAACAGGTGTGATAGAACTGTTGCAATCAGAGAAAAGTTTCATGTCTCGCCTGTTCCCAGTCCCCAAGAATGGCAGTGACAAATTGAGGTGGATTTTAGATCTTTCCGTCCTGAACAAGTTCATTACAAAAAAAAAAAAGTTTCAAGATGCTCACTTATGATCATCTGAGGCATCTACTTCCGCCCAATGCTTGGATCTCAAAAGTGGATTTCGAAGATACCTATTATCACATGCCTGTTACTCCCAGGTACAGAAAGTTTCTAGTGTTCACAGTGGGGGATGCAAGTTATCAATTCACAGTGATGCCATTCAGCCTAACAATTGCGCAAAAAGTGTTTACAAAACTGGAGAACATCCCCAGGGAGATCCTTATGAAGGAGGTTTGGGACTCCACAAACAGATCTCTTTGCCTCACAAAACAAAAACAAGATGCAAACTTAACCATCTCAGGAACGAAAGAATCTTTTAGGAAATGCTCTACTCATAGATTGGAACCGTTGGAATTCAATCGATCTGTTCCCACCTATGAAAATGTTGCCCAAAGTGGTTCGAAAACTAAGATCCTTCCAGGGAAAGGTCCTCTTAATTGCACCATATTGGATCCTACAACCGTGGTGTCTGGGTCTGTTGGAATGGTGCCTTGAATCGGCTGCTTGTGCAATTAACCAGGCCGTTCACATATATTTATTATTTGGGTTTAAGTAACGAAACCCAAACGGTAGTTCCTTGTTTTATTATAAAAGGGTTGTATATATAATTCCTGAGTGTAGATCGACCGTAAGTCTCACTGTATAGGAGTGAATGAGAAAGGGACGGCGTTTATGTATTATAACGTTAGGTCACGTCCTTACGATATAAGTTGATGTGAGCGACTCATGAGTAGTGACCCATCGAGGGAGAACGGTATGGGTACGTCGTTCCCCCTCGAGGGAAGACGGAGCCATCCACTGCGGCTCTCAAATAACGTCTTCCTCTAGTCAAGGATATCAAACTACTGCTCGCTTCAGGTGGCCAGAGAGCCGGCAACTTATGCCTTTACTCAGCATAGTATGACGCAGCTTCCCGTGGGCACACCTTATCACGTGCATTGAACATGTCACCTCATAGCCAGTGGAAAGTTACAGGGTGGTGAATCTGAATATAATATCAGATGTATTGACCCATTTATATAATATGTTCTGTTGATGAGACAGGGGCCCATTACAGCCTGCATCCACTACAATTGCAACAAGGATGTCCAGACCAGGTACTGCACCCTCAGTTCGAGATATCCTTGGCACTTCACGCTTGGAGTTTCTCAAAAGATGTTTAAATAGACCCCAAACTTCTATGCAATATGAGAAAGCTTGGAAACTTTTTCAACAATTTATCAGGTTAAAGACTCCAATCACATTGTCGGAAACAGTGGTGTTAGAATTATTTGAGTTTCTGTTCAGAGTTAAAGGCCTTCAAGGATCTACAATTGCATCTTATAAATCATCATTGGTTGACCCTCTGGCGTGGGGTTTTAATATTTCTTTGATATTACTTATCAAATGCTCAGATCACCCTTTTTCACTCAGAGACCCCCTCGGCCTTTTCACTCAGAGACCCCCTCGGCCTAAGTGAATCCCACCTTGGTCTCTAGATAAAGTTACTAAATTTCTTATGGGGCCTAATTACAATATAAATCTGAACTGGGACAGATTGTTCCAGAAGGCAGCTTTCCTTCTAGCAATAGCAACAGGTATGAGAATCAGTGAGCTGATTTCAATTTACAATAATCCATCATCATTGGTATTTTCTGAGGAAGATGTCACCCTTTTTCCTATGGAGATTCTAAGAAAAAATGAAAGGGAGGATTTTCAAGCTAAACCTATCAGGATAAAATGGCTAATGGATGAGATAAGGGTTCCTCATATATTGTGCCCAGTTAAGAATCTTCAAGAATGGTTAACCAAATTCCCTAATCGAGGCCCCTATATATTCTCATCACAGGATGGTACAAAATTGTCTCCTAGTCAAATGACAAAATATTTATCTCAGTTAGTGAGTCAAGCAGACCCTGGCAAAACAAATTTTGGCACCTGACACCAGGAAATATGCAGGGTCTGTGGTCTTTCTGCAGCATATGAGCCTCAGTCATATCAAAGAAGTGGGCTTTTGGAAATCTTCAAAAACCTTTCAAAACAGCTATCTTCATCTATCTCTGAAAGATGCTTCACATGTGGTGGTACTGGGGCCCCTTCCCCCACCTAGTTAATCTCCACAACCAGGACCTTCTTCTTCCTCATCAATATAAAGTGAGTATCCTAATTGGGATATGTAAATTAACGTTTGACCTTCCGGTAAAAACCATTTTGTGATATAATCCAGAATGCAACGTCGACATCCCACCCATCTCGACCCCTTGAGAGTTGACATTTGTTTACTGCTCGCTCTAGGGCAAGAGATGTTGGTAGCAATGCGTATGATGGAGGGTGCGGGAGGGGGTTTGAGAATTGCAATTAAATGCCAGGTAGAGACGTGTCCTCCCACTATTACGTATTTAAGTCATTATTAGATGTTTTAATTGCCTGTATGTTGGCCTGGTGAGTTAATGCTAGGCATTTACATACCTAGGTATAAAGCTAGATGTCGCACTCTGGACTATATCACAAAAACTGGTTTTTAGAAAAGTTTTTTTTCTTACGGGGATTAGCCCAACCGGGCACAGGTCACTGACCCACATTGGGGCCTGGGGGAGAAAATGTAACAACAATAATAATACAGTTAAAGTCCAAAAATCCGGATGCCAGAAATCCGGACCACCCGAGAATCCGGACTTTTCGAAAACTCAAAACTTTTTTTTTTCAATTTAGCTGGCTTTTGTGTGTATGTGCGCATGCGTAAGCGCCACAGCTGCACAGCGACAACAAGCGACCACATGGTCGCCACTTTAAAACGAGCAATCAAACTGTGACAACGTATGTAATTTTGAGTCCTACTCTTTCCATTTACAGAGCCCATAATAATGGCTCCTAAAGTAGATAAACTTTGTTGTGTGACGAGAAAGAAGAACAAATTGAAATTGAGTGACAAACTTGAAATAATTAAAATTGAACGTGGTGTGAGCAATACTGTTCTATTGGAAACATATGACATTGGAAAGTCTACAATTTATGATATAAAAAAGGCAAAGAATAAAATTCTAGAATTCACAGCTTTTTCTTTAAAACTGCTTGTTTTGATAAATGAGGCATGCTATATTTGCTAATGAATAAACTATCAAAATGTACCTGTTCATCTCTTCTTTATTCCTCCTTAAATTTGAATTTTAAAAGTACTGCCTGAGAATCCGGAAAATCCAAAAATCCGGACAGACCCAATCCCCAAGCAGTCCGGATTTTTGGACTTCTGCTGTAATAATAAAAATAATAATAATAATAATAATTCATAGTAAATAAAATTTATAATAAATAATACAGAATCGAAAATAAAATAATAATGATAATAATAATAACAACAACACCGTAATAATAATAATAATACAGTACAATATAGTCTCGGTTTACACGGATTTCCTTTACGCGGTTGGTCATTTACGCGGCACCTGGCCAGACGTGCCAATTATTAGTTATGCGGTACATTCCAGCATTTACGCGGGAAGCGGCACGGACAAGGTGCGCGCTAGGTCGCTCTGACGTCACCGCTGACGTCAGATGACGTTTTGGACTGTGATTGGGCCACGTATCCTTACCACCCACGCACCCCCTCCGCCAAGCGCTGTGATTGGTCTATTTAACCTTGCTTGCCCAGTCAACAAAACATTACCGAGTTATTCACCCGCCACCCACCACAGCCAGCCCAAGTCAGTGATAGTGATAGTGAGGATATGGACTTTGAGGGGTTTGACAAAGAGGCCCTGCAAGCCTCTGTGGTGGATAGTGATACAGGTGAGGGCCAATAATCTGCCCTCTGCCTCGGAACCAACCCCCCATCCCCGTGTGCCCAGCCATCTCTTCTACTAATGTAAGTGTTAAAAAACCTAATATTATTGATATTTCTCTTAAATATTAATTGTGTGTGCATAACATCATAAAATTAAGATATTATGTTTACTACAACGTACGTATTGTGTCGGAAAAAGGGTAGTCTGGGGGTCGGCCCGGTCTCTATTTCAATTAAACCCATATGTTCTGTTATTTCATTTACGCGTTTCTCGTTTTACGCAGATCTCCACGGGTTTAATTGACCGCGTAAACCGAGACTATACTGTGCAGTAATAATAAAGGACCATAAAGAAATACAAAAATTAAATAAAGATCAAAAGTGAGAAACAATATATGTATGTTGTGTTGTCAATAGTAAGAGAAACAATTGAGACCCTGCAATTGTGTGTAAATGAGACAGAAAGTTAGATCAGCAGCCTGGGACTTGGTCACAATTTTCGTGATGCTATATTGCAGCAGGGTCTACCATTAGACAATACATTATGCTTCCAATATCTTCCGAAGTGGTAGTACCTCCCTGTTTGGTAGCTGCCTACTACCTACTACGGAGATATTACTGTACAGTATTTCCATTGATTTAAAACACAATTTAAAGTTGGAATTATATATTTTTTTTAAATAAACAAACTTCAAATTTAATATCTTCATTAGAAATAAAACATTCACACGGAATTTACCTCTGTCCTCATCTTCCATTCGAAAGAACACAGTGAGCACAGTATTTGATAAACCCAAGGATAACTCTGTGATTCTTGATAGTTGGAGACTTGATGGCCAGATCACTTGATGAAGAGTCACTCTTGCCCTGCCTACTCCACCTACAATGGAAACACCTAAGTTTTAAAAAAAAATTCTATATCCTATACAGTACATCATTTCTTAATATAAAACTAGCTGCCACAATTAAAAAAATTTCCATAATCCACAACCTCTAAACATATCTATAGAATTCAAAATAAAATCCTTACAAGCACAAAATCACTCGTGTCATTCTCGCACTTCATCTTCCTTTACATCTATGACCAGTCACATCTTGCATACAATATCCATCACATTTTTCACTGTCTTGTGATTATGAGGATGGTAAATTTTTTAATTCTGGAAATATACAATAACCCGCATCCAGTTACAGAAGGCACTATTTGTAGCAAAGCTCAACCATCAAATAAAATTTGTCATGTCTTGTTTTACAGATGCATTTAAAGATATAGTAGATATAACAAAATGATCACTATGTAATGTAGGGGCAATAGTTTTGAATAATATTAAAGATATTGTATACTGTATAATACTGTACTATAAAAAGGATCATTATAATATAAACTGAAAAATAAAGAACAACTCCTTCCCTTGTCCCATGGTAAGGTTAGGAACATTACTGTACTCCTCTGTGCTAAACATTTTGAACATACAAAATTCCAATATTTTGAACTACACAAGAATGACAGGAACAAAATCTACTGGCAGGTTAATGGATCTGGGACAGGTGGTGTAGGGATCTTGATTTTTTAAAAGTAGATGGAAAAATAAGTCGAGGTGAAAAGGGTGAATGAGAGAATAATGGTTTTTAAGCTACTGACAGGGAAGAATGTGGCAACTGTTATTTCTGTATATTCCCCACAGGTTGGGATAAGTACGGTTGAGTTTATGCATGAAGTGCTGAAGCTTGGTGAAAGGAAAATTTATATCCAGTTTTAGGTGGTAACATAAATGGCCATGTTGTTATACACACAGAGGGTTGCGAACGTGTGGAAAAGGCTATGGTAAAGAGGATAGGGGAGAAGAGAAAATAATTGAATTTGGGGATGCACTGAATATGGTTGCATGCAACACATTGTATAAAAGGATGAATAGGTTGATTACTATATGTATTAGCCAGGAGATACAAAACCCAATTTGACTTCATACTTGTCAGGAAATGACATAGGAAGCTTGTTAAAGATATAAAGATGAAGATTGTGTCTTGCAGCACTTTTAATATTATATTTGGCTAACACCAGACGATTTTATTCAGCTTAGAGGTGACCCTGTACACAAGAGGTTAGTAAATTATCTCCACTAACCCCCTTCACTATGGGGACACCACTTTCAATATTTTACAGGGTATTTGGATAACGCCAGACAATTTTATTCAGCTCAGAGGAGGCTCCGTACAAAGGAGGTTAATAAAATCAAGGAAATGAAGTTGGATGTTCCAAGAAGGAAAGTGTGGAAATTGAAAGAAACATTTTGAGCTGAGCCAATGGAATCAGCCAATGACAGTGTGAGGGGTAGTGTAGCAAGGTGCAGAGCTAAAATAAAGGATGTTCTGCAAAGTGTGACTAACAAGATGTGTGGCTGGATGAAGGGCCCAGCCAGGCCTGTAGTAATATGGTGGTAGAACAATAAAGTGAACAGAGGAATGAGGCAAAAATAGGATTGTACAAGGCCTAGAAGATGAGTGGCAACAAGGGGGAAGTTATTGATGATGAAAAACTTATTATCTTACTTAACCCCCAATTAAATAAAAGTTCATTCAGTCATCCTTGTTACATTAAGAAGGACTTTCAAGATCCAAAACTATTGATTCTCACCTTTTTTCCCAGATATTGTTCGATGCCTAAAATTTGTTACATAAAGATGCCGTTCAGAATCTGCTAATGCTATAGTTTCACCAGTTGAGGAACAGGCAAGGGAGCCCCATTCTATATACTTACAACCTGTCCTCTGTAGGCCAAGGCTTATAACATTTATCAACTTGCAACTGCTTGTATCATATTCATCTAACATTTTAGTTAAGGAGAATATACTGCTGTACTTAAAACTCTCCCTCTGTAATAACAAAAGCTGAGGCAAAATTTTTGGTTAAATAAAATTTTTAAATTTACCCAGACGGCAAACACAAGAATCTGACTTGATGCTGTATACTGTACACAAAAGCTGGTATGATAATATTACTGTACATCCATAATGAAAGACTGAATTATCAAGCAGGATTTAGTTTCATGTGCCACTACAAAGTACAGGTTTTCCTCCCAGATTCAATTCTCACTGTACAGTACAGTATAAAGAAAAATGACTTGCTGACGCATTTGGAAAAATTCACACACTCGTCACCCAAAAAACCAATCTTTTAGTTATAATTATACTGTACAGTACTTCAGCATAATAATAAGGAAACCTTGTACTAGAAAGGAAAACAAATGAATGGGCACATAATACTGTACCGTACCTGAATAAGAATAAGTAAAAAGTCAAACAAGGCACAACCATAAGGCATATTCTGACAGAATATCTACAGATCTGATAAAAATGTGATACTGGTCTGTTCTGTTGATCTATGTACAGTATAGTGTACTGTACACTGCACAGTTCAGAATTTCACGGGAATGATAAAGAACCTATGCTTTACATAGGATTTACAGTAATTTCTCATAGAAGAAAATATTTTAAGAAATCTTTAAATAATAAAAAGATAGTAAGAGGTACTATCTCTTAGTTCTCTCTTACTACACTGCAGATGGTGAACTAATTCCTTGTTATCCCCAGAATTGGGGTCAACAAAAATTCATCATATTAAAAGGATACACAGGTCAGTCCCAGTTAAAGGTTGTACTAGAATTATGTTCTCATAAAGATGTGCTGTACGAAGAGGAGGAGTCCGAAGAACACCCTGAGTTGTAGGACGACCTCCGGCATTTGTGGAAAGGAGCACCAGGCGATCACTTTGGGGCTGAAGGAGAATGAAGTGACGTGTGTGGCCCCATAAGCTGGGGTTACGAATAGATCGTATATCTGTCAAGAAATTTAATATAGTTATACCTGTACATGTGCACTGTACTTTCAGGGTTTTTCAATATCCAGAAATCTTGCAATGAGTACAGTACATAATTAGATACTGTATTTAAGAGTAATTAATTAATCAATTTAAAATGATTAAATGAATAATAAATAAGAGTACAGTGGTCCCTCGATTAACAAACACAATTGGTTCCACAGAGTCGTTTTTTAACCAAAAATTTGGTTAACTGAATCTATTATTTCAATGGGATTTTGGGTAATTGGTTCCAACTCACAGAAATAGTATACATACAAAGTACTGTTCTGTATACCGGTAATAGAATTAACAAAACTTTAAACATAAAATAAATACAGTACTGTACTGTACAATATACTGTACAGCTGATTGTAGAGGCAGTCGATGATGACACCATATTCTTTACAGAGTGCACTGGTTCTAATGCCTTCTTCATTTTTCAGAATAATTTCTGCACTGTATGTTATCAATAAGTTAACTAAATTTCAGTATGACCAATAATTCTAAAGTAAAAATGCAAAAATATTCAAGAGACCAACAAACTGGATGTTCACTCCACTGTAAACAAAGTTAAACTGGGAAGCATTGGTGGGTGATTCGATCAGCTGAAGGGCACACAAAAACTGTTCCCTGTACTGTATATATTATAAATATGTTAACTAAATTTCGGAAAGACCAATAATTTTAATATAAAAAATGCAAAAATAGTCAAGAGCACAACTTGCTTGATATTTACTCCACTGGAAACGAATGTAAACATAGAACCAATTACTGTATTGACGGACTAGCCAATCAGCTGATGCGCACACCAAGGCGTGTTTCTCGTAAGGCTGTCATTAATTGAAGTTTTATTCGTTAATGGAACTGAAAAACCTTATGGGAGTTAATTCGTTAAGCAAAATTTTGTTAATTGAACCGTTTGTTAATCGAAGGACCACTGGATATTACAGTACTATATAAATTAGCAGTCTAAATTCCCTTAACACTTGTCAATAATTGGTTTTTTGGGGGGGGGGGGGATAGCCCACCCAGGCACAGGTCACTGACCCACATCAGGGCCCGGGAGGCGAAAGGGCCCGGGAGGCGAAAATGTAATAATAATACAGTAGTAGTAATAATAATAATAATAATAATAATAATAATAATAATAATAATAATAATAATAATAATAATAATAATAATAATACTGTAATAATAATACAGAAATAATAATTCAGATAAGTAAAATTTATAATAAAAATAATAAAATACTGTAATAACGATATTAATAATAATAATAATAATAATAATAAAAATAAAGAACCATAAAGAAATACAATAAAAAAGACCAAGAGTGAGAAACAATATATGTATGTTGTGTTGTCAATGGTAAGAGAAACGATTGAAACCCTGCAATTGTGTGTAAATGAGGCAGAAAGTTAGATCAGCAGCCTGGGACTTGGTCACAATTTTTGTGATGCCATATAGCTGCAGGGTCTACCATTAGGCAATACATTATGCTTCCAACATCTTCCCAGGTGGTAGTACTTCCCTGTTTGATAGCTGCCTACTACCTACTACATTTCATTACAAATTATGTCATAATAATAAGAAAAAAAAAACACTTTATGCTTACTATACTGTACGAGAAATTGTTCTGAATATGGATAATACTCGGAAAAAGTTATAAACTTGAGAACAATAATAGTGTCATCCATGGTGTCATACAGAGTTGAAGGAAAACACCTCCTCATCATGGTACATTATGACTGAAGTAAACCATGACCATGTTAAGGGCAATTCTATTTTTACAAGAGTAAAAAGTGGACCCCAAATTACTAAAGAACTATTTGCTGTTGATTTTGCTTCATCATAGTAGGTAGTAGGCAGCTACCAAACAGGGAGGTACTACTGCCTGGGAAGATATTGGAAGCATAATGTATTGTCTAATGGTAGACTCTGCTGCCATATGGCATCACAAAAATTGTGACCAGGTCCCAGGCTGCTGACCTGAATTTCTGCCTCATTGACACACAATTGAAGGGTCTCAATTGTTTCTCTTACTATTGACAACATAACATACATTCTGTATATTGATTCTCACCTTTGATGTTTTTTTTAATTTTTGTATTTCTTTATTTTTATTATTATTATTATTATTATTAGTGTTATTATTATTATCATTATTATTTTATTATTATATTTTCAATTTTGTATTTTGTATTATAACTTTTATTTACTATGAATTATTATTATTAAATTTTCACCCCCCAGGCCCCGATGTGGGTCAGTGACCTGTGCCCGGGTGGGCTAATCCCCATTAAAAAAAAAATAAAATAATGCATTCTGTATACAGTACAGTAATGTACTTACTTGAGTCTCTTTCTCTGATGAGAGAAAGAAGGGACGCAGCAGATAACTGAAGGGAGCAGGAAAGTCCAGTGTCAAAGTGTATAGAATACCGCACCAAAGTCCCATTCTGGCAAGCAATAATTACTTCACTCTCTCCTCCACGTTGCCAACATGCACTGAAAACAAGCTATATTGTCTAGTAATACTGTATGTTAATTTGGATATTAAAAATTACTGTACTGTAGAGGGTTATTGAAAAAGAAGTAAACACGTATATACAGGTACCCTGTACTCTTCACATTTAGCAGAGCATACAGTACAGGAGACTGCAACTTACGCAGATTTTTCTTACGTGGTTTCAACCATACGCGGATTACCCCGGAGATTAGGTTACAATTTCCAACTTCTCACGAGGTCTTATAAGCCATATGGCTCAGTATAAGAATATGTTCCAGCAGCTTAAGAAACAACAATGAAAGCTTCCCATCACCATCTTATTTGAGAAAACCTCAGCATCAACATTGTCACCAGATCAGCCAATGCCCTCAATTTCTCGCAGTGACCTTGAGTTGCCCACATCCTCCCCTGCATCGTTATCTGAGCTTGACGATCCCCTCACGGTGACGTAGGAAGGGGATGCATAATCTCAAAACAACAACACATGTCTGTCTACATACAGGTAATGTCTGTGTTCTATTAATGCTGTTATGCACTTGTTACAGATGTTGATATTACATTACAGGAGTGATTTATGAGTTCTAGTGTATATGTACTTATATATAGTGATTTAAGGGCGATTTCTGACTTTATGCGGGGTCCCAGGAACGTAACCCCTGCATAAGTTGCAAGTCTACTGTACTCTTAAAGATATGTCTTGGCATTTTCATCATAGTAACACTCTGGAACACCAGGAATTTGGGTAAACTCTTCTTACTTCAAGAATATCCTGCCCATAAAGGTGAAGGAATTGGCATCCCCACAACTTTTTTGACAACAGTAGTTAAAATGAACCAATCAGACCTAACTATCTAAGGATGAAAGTACAGGTATATTCTTTTAGATTAGGTTTGGTAGGTTAATTTATGTTAGGTTAGGTATGTTTGCTTGTAAGGTATGGAAAGGTTGTTGGAGAGCAGTAGGCTTGGTCAGTTTATCTTTTCTACAATAAATCATTTCCATCACTATAGGAGAAGAGTCTAAGTCTGTACGGTGTACAGATATGAAATACTACTAAACCAAAATCAGTGAACTAATAGAACCCTGTACCAAAAATGCCATAAATTCTTATTTTTGTTTTTGACATACTATTAATGTTATTGTTAATACTGTATTGTTATTGTTTTAGAATACATAAGCTACTGCTGGTTTTTCATATTTTTGTAATGGAAGCATTAATGTCTATGAACATTTGTCTCTTAGCAGCACACAAACAGGTGATGAGGGCATACCAGGTTCAAAATGAAAACATTGGAAAACCAAAAGCAGGAAAGTTACAAATCTTCCACCTTCCTTTGGATAGTTGAGGCGCGAAACAAATTTTCTTCTTTAGAAAACTTCTTCAAGTGGCTCCTTCTGCATCAGACATCTAAAGTATTACACCTTTTTACATATCCGTTGAGACATTGTTACATAACTATTTGACAATTTTCATAACCCAATGACAGACAGAACACATATCGAATGACAATCTAAAATAACTGTTGGTGGTATGTCATTCTCCAATTGTTACATTCTCAAACTAGTATATGTAGACTGTCGGTTTATTGTTCACGTCTGTCAACTTCATAACTTATGTCAATCATTTCAGTTAACATAAACGAACAGTTATTTTAGATTGTCATTCGATATGTGTTCTGTCTCATTCGATTATGAAATTTGTCAAATAGTTATGTAACAATGTCTCAACGGATGTGTGAAAAGGCTTATTATCAGTGGCTTACTTGTCATTTCATAAATAAAATAGAAGTAAAAGAATAGCAAGTGGTAAATAATCAGTAGTGACCATACACAGAACTCTATCCTGATTTGTTCAGGGGGTCCCAAGGTTAGGAACGGGTTCCGTTCCTGAGGACATTCTTAAGTCGGATTTGTACGTAAGTCGGAACACATGCTATGTGCATACCGTACTTACAGGACAATGTTTAAAGTCCCACTATATCATAGCCTAAGTCCTTATATACATTTAAAATCACTTAATTTAAAACAAAAGAAGAAATAGAATGACAAAATACAGTAAATGAAAGTAAAATATAAGTCATCAGGTAAATAAAATACTATAAATTTCAAGTTTAACCCTGTTGTATATAAAGAGATATAGCAAAAATAAAATAAGAATACAGGGTACTTTACTTTATACACTTTGTATCAGAAATTTATATTTTTCATTTTGTTTCCATTTTTACTCTTCACACAAAAAACTGACAAAACCAAACCTGACCTAACTATTACAGAAAACTTAAAAAGTCTAATATTTAAGAACAGGTGTCAGGGTAAAGGTGTTGACTTAGGTCAAATTTCAATCGAAGAAAAGTTCTTAAGTTTATCAAGAACATCCCAAAAATGGAGGAAATAAATCTTTGCCAATCAAACAGATAATCAAGAACCCAATCTAACGACTCAAATATCAATTTACATGTCTAACCAAACCTAACCAGAGGAACCTGGCTTAACCTCCTAAATTTCCAACATTAATGATATAGAGTAAAGTATTTTTATCGTTTTTACTTTATCTTCTGATATAAAAATCAATATAAAGTGCTTGGACGGCACTGAACATTAACCTAGCAAGCTGTATCTTGAAATAGATCCAATTAAGAAGGAGAAGTATTTCAGATAACATTTTAATTTCGGTCATCCCTATATTAACCTAATCTACCTAACCTAATGTATCCTAACCAACCTAACCTAGCCACAGAACCCAAGAATTATATCTAACCTAACCAAGGGGACTTCTCCCTCCCAGACCCCTAGTAATTCCAATAGTTAAATTCCTAAGATTCCCCATATGACCGAAACTAAAATAATCGGCATTTCGTCCTCGTGGACTGATGGGCGAGCATAGTTAAACTGGTTAACAAAGCAACGAACGTTGTACACACAAATTCCCACATTATTTTCGAGGCACCCTTGATTTAAAAAAAATATTAATTTACTCTAAGACTTACAGCATGTCTGACCATATTGGGCTCTGTAAGCACATACAGTACAGTAATTTATTTCACCATACTCACTCAGACACGTCCTGGACTACTTTGGAGGTGACTTTCTTGTTCACCCAGACAGTAAGTATTAGCCTGCCATCAGCTAAGAGAATCAGGGCACCTTTGTTGTTAGATTCTAGATCTGCCCTGAGAACTTGATTAATGGAGTATGGCGTTTCTGTTAGTTTCTTCACCACTACAGACTTGTGCACGTTACGGTGGGCGGACATGGTTGTTGTTTACTCTGGTCAGCTGACCTGAGTTGCCACTAATCATTTTATCGTCGACAAAAATGTCATCTCAAAATATCTACAACTTCAGTAGAGTATTTGAATTATAAATGTCTGCAATGAAACTAACATTACTCATTCCAATGAGCTGAATCATTGATGCAGAATTCTGAACATTTACGATTTTAATAACATACCTAGTCCTAATATAAAGATGTTGAAAGACATAACATGGAATATCCTTTACAGTCAACTTTATTTAACTACTTTCTTTCTCGTGCTCTGATAAAATAATAGTAACATGAATAACTAAAATATCGATACTTTTGAAATTAATTTAAGCCTTATAATAGTGCCCATACGTTTGCGTGCGTCTGCCCATGATCCTTCCTAATAAAGAAATCACCCCCAATATTGCAATATTATCTTTTGTTGGAATTCACAACTAACACATTTGTTAAATATTTAATGCAAAAGGGAATTAAAATTTATATATAAATATATATAAACAATGAAGCATGAGGGAAACCTCGATAGCACGTGACTAGCAACAACAACAACTCGCGATTCCGGATTTCCCCACAAGGTGGAGTGAGGGTGTGGCTGACTGTCCCCATATAATGTGTCATACAAGCTAACTTTCCACAAAATCTTTATCCCTACTTCACGTGCAGGGTGTATTTAGTAATAAATGGTGAAATTTTAAACGTACCTATGTCTCACGCATAATTTATAAATATAGTGTAAGGACAAAAGAACGGACCCCTAGCTCTCTCTTTCTCTCTCTCTTCACCACCAATACTAAAACTAAGTAAAAAAAATAAGTGCAATGAATAAATATAAATAATTTATATGTAAAAAAAATAAGAGAAAATGAAAGGAACAAGCACATTAATGAAATCGCACACACAATTGTTCTATCACATAGTTTTCACTGAGGTGACTTGGTATATTCCAGAAAGAACTAGTTTTCTGACACAGTGGTGTTGCTAAACCCATTTCTAACTTATATATTTAGTTAAAACTTGGTTTAATAATATGCTAGTCCTGGATTTCTAGTTTCCCCATGCCTAGTTAATACGAGCTGTTTCATTCAGCCTTTGTGGCTTCTAGTTTTAGCTAATTAAAACTGGTTTTGACTTTTATATATTTGAAACTAAATCACTGTACGTGCACGTGATCCATGTATATGCTGATAATCACATAGGAAAATAGAAGACGCGAAGTTTACAAGCGCCTTCATGTAACGTCACAAGTGTAGTTCCCCAAGGCTCAGTACTTGGACCATTATTATTTATTATATACATAAACGACATAGATATCGGCATAGACAGCAACATAAGTAAATTTGCTGATGACACTAAAATAGGACGTGTTATTAAATCGGACGAGGACTCAGCAAAACTACAGGAAGATCTAAACAAATTTACAATTAAAAAAATGGCAGATGAAATTGTGCGACAAATGGTAAAAGTACTAGATGCAAAGAGGAAACCAGATACCAGATGGAATAACGATGCCATAGAGAACTGGATCATGAGAGGAGACTAGAATGATAAGTAGGAACCTTGTCATAAACAATGTGTTTTAAGCTCAGAATAAGGCTAATAAAGTACTTGGGTTCATACAAGGAGTGTTAGTTACAAGTCTAAGGAGGTCATCCTAAAACTGTATCTTGCTCTTAACTGTTTTATCAGAATGGATATAAACTCAAAAGAACGGGAGGAGAATGACAAGACTAATCCGGCATTAGGAACTTGAGTATAGAGACAGGTTAAAGATCTAATTTGCACTCTCGAGAGACGAGAGGAGGGCGACCTAGAGGTGTGCACAAGGGAAGGCAGGGCTAAACAAAGGACATTACAAATTGATTCCAACCAGGAAGTTGAACTCAATAATGACGAAATTAGACAAATTTAGATTTAGCTGAAACAGGGTAAACACTGGTTTGGAAATGAGAGGACAGCTGTCAAATATCACAATGAGTTGTCAGCTTCAAACAGTAGGTTGGAGGCCATGGGTATGGGCTAGGGGCCAAAAATGACTGTCAGCAATGAAATAGCCAGCAGTTTCTCCATTCTTATGTTCTTCACTCACGTCAAAAGTGGTGAGTACTCACCCCTGAGATGTAATCAACACAAAAGGTTTGGGGAACTTCTGTCTTTTTCTGTGGTTTTGAGGAGAGATGGATGGATGAGTGGAAGTGATATGGATGATGGATATATATATATATATATATATATATATATATATATATATATATATATATATATATATATATATATATATATATATATATATATATATATATTCCTCATCAATGAATCCCGGACTGCAAATTCTCAAGGCACGTAAAAACATTGGTGAAAATACTGACTCTTTGACTATTATGGTGGGCAGAATAATAATGAATGTATGAACACACATTAGTAGTTTTTTACGTGCCTTGAGAATTTGCAGTCCGGAATTCATTGATGAGGAATATAAATATATCAATAATATTGGCTTGAACCTTAAGTACCCTAGATCTTTTTTAGACAAATGCCTTAACATTACTAAGAAATCTTTTTATAGAACCGATCCCAAGCCCACCCATAACCATAAAAATATCTTAGTATTACCATTTCACAAAAATTTCTCTCAAATTCCTTTACAACTAAAAAACTGGAACGTCAATGTGGCATTTAAAAACTCATGCACTGTAAAAACAAATGTTAATCAAGAACTCCCCCAACAATGCAGGCAGCTGCATTTACAAGGTTCCTTGCAAGGAATGTAATATGTTTTACTTAGGCCAGACAGGTAAAGATCTTGTAACTAGACTTAGACAACATAAATATAGTGTTAGGACAGGCCAGGAATCCAATGCTCTGTTTGTTCATTTGAGGGATAATAAGCATTGCATTGACTGGGATAATGCCTCCTCAATATTACCTTGTAATTCAATTGACAGTAGGAACATTATAGAATCCAGTCTCATTAAACATACCGAATCCGTCAACATGAATTTGAGTAATGGTATGTACAAACTGGATAATTTCGTAATTAAGAAGATTTGTAACCAGGTGAGAAGGTTGGGTCATCTTACCCTCTGACCTGACTACCGGCTGCTGCGGTGCTTTTGAACATGAGTAGGGTCACGGCCTAGTGACCGGACCATTGTGGACACTCACTGTCCCCTAGGGACTTGATCTCACTCTCCTCTACTGTATATATATGACTTGTTATGCCGAAATGGCCTAAAGGCGAAATGGCCAGTAGTCCCCCCAAACAAGTCTATTTCTCCTTAGTCTGTACTCACCCTGAAGATGTGAATTACACGAAAGCGCTTGGGAACTTCGTGCTTTCTTGTTTCCTTGTGGTTATCAGCATATACCTGGATCACGCGCACCTACAGTGATTTACTTGCATATTCTGAGTAATTCAGTCAGGTCTTGACACTAAGGGTGGTATTACTTCTCACTGCCACGTAGGACAGAGGTTCATACATAAAGAAATACATCATATTCATTAACATATATACGTACATATACACATACACACACATACATATGCATACACATACCTACACATGTATACATACAGTGTATCAGATTCATGTGGCTGATGTCACTGTTCAATGCCATGCAGGACAGAGGTTCGTACACAAAAAAATACATCATATTCATTGACAGTATATATATATATATATATATATATATATATATATATATATATATATATATATATATATATATATATATATATATATATATATATATATATATATATATATATATATATATATATATATATATATATATATATATATATATATATATATAACAA